CGTTCATTTTCTTGCATTGCAAAACGAGGGAAACTGATGTACGGAGGATTTGTTCGTGCTCGGAAACTCGGTCACAGCAAGAGGAGTAGCTGGCGCATCAGGATACACAGTGCAGACGCTTGGAGTTTTCGGGGCAGTAGTACGGCAATGATTACCAAATAGTTAGACACAGCACACCAGTCTTAAGCTCCACCATCCACGTGGATGGCTGTAGTATTTGCTGCCGAAGCAAGGATGGCGAGTATGTTCTCTAGGGATGACGCCTTTACCGTTGACTTGGAAACCCTTCTTCATATGTGTTAGGGATTGAAGGGTGGAGCGACTGTCATGTAAGTAATGCAGGCCTAGTGCACTACCCGCCAGATCGCGTTGAGCACTGTCTCGGGCACTAGGAGTTTCTGCTTTTTGTCCGAGAAGCAGTCTGAGCAGCAGACGATAATTGGGTGTTTGTCCGAATTGTTGGCTTTTTGGGAGATCATCTACCAGGTACTGTTGCTGGCAATGTGTAGTAAGTGTTGACGAATTGATACAGCACGAATAATGAAGACGGCATTAAGGGTCTGATGAGTATTCTGGGGGCTGTATAGTCACTGTGTTTCCAACTGTCAGGTGTTAAACTTTTCCAGTAGATCCTGCAGAATGGCGGCGGTGTGAGCGAGGCAACGAAAGAAGTTGAGGTAAAACAACGCGATATCGAGAAGCTTCTGAACTTCCGTGCGAGCGGACAAAGGTAGCGACCAATTTCGAATTGTTTGTTTTCGCCTTATCTGGTTCAACCCCCTCTTGATGTTGTCATTAGGAGGGTCCTCTACGGGGCTGTCCACGCGATGCCTAGGATTATGTTGTGGTGAACTGGCCTTACGTTGCTGCAGTTCTCAACGTTTTGCTTCTCCAATTCACCCGGTGGCTCCATACGCCTTCAATATCGAATTATGCTGGCTTGATCGCTGTACGAGAAGCCGGTGAGACGCTCGATTCCTACACGACCGTCCCACTGCCAAGTTTCCCAGTCGCTGCCGGTTTCCGCCGTTTCTCTCTGTCTCTCTCCCTCCCTCTCTCTCTGCGTGGGCCTGGCATTCACACTTACAACATCCGTCGGCCCAATATCCACTTAATTCCTCAACTTGGCACTTTGTTCTTCAGCTAGGGCATACTATTGGCGTTGTTTCTGTCTTTGATGCATCAGTATTCCATCACCTCTACGATCTCATCTCTTTCACCTCTCTGTTTTTTCACCCCTGCTAATCCAGCTAGCGATTGCCATTTGCTGGAAGATAGCCCTGCTACTGTTCATCGGCTGTGCTTCGGATAAGCACTACCCTGGCTTGTATACAACCAGCGGGGTGTTGTACCCCTCTCATATTGACAAAGGAGAAAACAGCAGCAATAATTTTTATTGTGTCTGTTAGGGGACAAGATAAGGCTCTAGAGAGGGGAGGGAAAGTCTTTCACATCCCTAGCTCCGTGGCGACAGTCGTATATGAATATCGGAAAAGAGCAGGGGCACTTTTCCGGCGTTCGTAAAAGTGTCTGCCGTTGGACGGAACGCAGAAATTGAGCTTGGTTCAACTCGGCAAGGATCCCACCTTTTGGCGGCTCCCCTACCAGGCTGCAGCTACTGACCAATCTCCACAGCACCAGAGACTGCAAAGCTTTAGATGGGACAATGATTTTGCTAGACTTCAGTGAAACTTTCGTTCGTGTGTATGTACATTTTTAAGCATTTCCAGTAGTAGTGACGGTCATACAGCACATTGCCCTGGTGTCGGGACAATATCTACCATTCGGTGCTGCACTCTGTTAACCATGCGGTGCCACCAATTGCAACGCCGGTCCTAGATCTTATCTGGGTACTAATGTATGTGGCAGGAGAGGCAAACATACTGCAGATGGGTCCCTGAAAAGCTCCTGAACTATTACCTCTGTCTACAGGCGTCCTGAAGTCAGCGGGTCAAGCGCATTGAACTGCACAAGGCGAGGCAGCCTGTAACGAGTTGCATTATCAACTCTGCAATTCGACGTGCAAGACAGCTGTCCAGAAGGGGACACACAAGCCCCTTCGGTTGTATGCACACACACTTTCGGCACCTGCGCCGGCTTATCATTCGAGTCTAGGCACACTCACATAGACTGCGCTGCACTGGTAGTGGGAGCCGACTTATCTGTTTTTGGAGTTGAGTGACATTCCTTGGGATTATGGTTACAGCCCACAGATTTTTGCTTTTATCACTGCTCCTAATTCTTGTAATTTCTGTTCGTGGCGGAGACACTGGAGCCGTCAATGGCAAATAGGTAGTTTGGGCCTTTAAAATCTAGGGAGCATGCGGCGCCAACCACAAAGCTAAGCACAAATTCCATTTTAGCCCCCTTTTACAGATTTGAAACAGGCAAATATGGTAAGGAGTTACAGCCCAACGCCCAAATTGTAGTATTCACGTTTGACCCTGAGACGCTGTTCACTGGCGAGCAGAGGTAATGTGTACTACAGAGTGCCTGCGGTGCACAGCAGTCCTAAGGTGTGCCTAATTATCTCATCTCGTAGCACCAATCCATGTGTAGCACGGCTCCCTTCGCTGCCCAGGGATGCGGCATACTCCTACGGTCATTCCTGCCTCCGGAGAAGCCAGTAATGGGTGCATTCCCTGCGCCTGCTGAACTACGGAGGCAATCGTTACCTCCTCTCCCGGGCCCGCGTTTGCCCGGTTGTGCTGAGGTGGCTGCCGTAGGATGGTTGCGACCTGGTCTGGCAATACGCCCGCCACGTGTCTAGCATTGATGACGTATGCCTGCTTTGCTGGGGGCTGGTCCCCTACTGTGACACTTTTTTGTCCGAACTGCGTACGACTGAGCTACCGTTAGCTCACCCCACGCCGCATTCCCGTGGACTCGCAACTTATCTGGCTGAGAAGACCACTTTACTGTTTGAGGGGTCGACGAACCAAACCCTAACCCAACTTCACAAGGTGGAGGCCCCTTCAAAATTCCTCCCATGGAGCGCTCGCGTCCATCCCACGCCATCGATCTCATGATTACCCGATCACTGCGTATCTGCTCGCACGTGACCTCCAAAAATATACAATCTTCCGAAGGTAGGCTTGCCTTTAGCTGTAAACGATCAACTCCCTCCTGATTAATGAAACTCTTAGAGGCCGCCGTATCCAAGAACCCTTCGCATTGGCTCCCAGCCAAATATGCCTCCAGAAATGAGGTAGTACCCACACCGCACCATACGCCGCACCTGTCAGACTCTGCGGCCTCACAAGCCTGTAGCCATATGGTGTTTTTACATCCTCATCAATCGGGTTAGCGTGCTCTTCAGCTCCCTTCGTGTCCCCTTCGCAGAGCTCTTGTTTTGCATGCTGGGTCCCATCGACATCGTCCCTAGGGGACTCTACCTCAGGCTGCGCCCCTGCCTTGGGCGGAGACAGCTAGGAATCAGAGGCTGCTTCGTGCACGGATCTGTTCTCCCCCATCAGTCTCGGTTCCCTCCGCAATGCCCCAAATGTAGTGCGGAGCAGTCCTAAGCGGTGACTACCTATGCCATCCCGTAGCATCGGGCTTCCTAACTACATTGAAAATTTGATAGCTGGGGTTTGGAGTTGGGCATTGCCGCCTCGAGCAGAAAAGGTTTATAAGGGGGATGCGCGGGAGCTCCAACTCCTACGGCAGGCCCGGATATGGAGCCAACCGTCTTCACGCGCCTGGCAAGCCCCATTGTGCTACTACCGAGTGTGTGAATCTTAGTGTGCTGTTAGTTCATTAGTGTACCATGCAAATAAAGATGTGGGAGCACGAGAGTGACCGCCTCCTCTGGTTCGCCTCGTGCCATTATCTGCCATGTGAAAACCTCAAATACGATGGCTCTGGCGGATACAATCAGTGCTAATTTCGCGTTGTACAAACTACGCTGTACGTTCGTTGAGTCCCAGGTCGTGTGTAAGCACTCGTTTGTTTCCCTTTGCAATACACCCAAGGGACCCTATATATTAAGGGACCCTATAATATTAATACTTGCACTGACACTTTATACCCACGTTGCTGCTTACGTTCCCAGCAGTCAATAAATTTCCAAAACATGTTCAAGTATCTATTATAAGCAAGGGAAGTTTCCAGAATAATAGAACCGACTGACTAGAATAATCGGAACTGACCCCTTGCCTTCACTGAGGATCAGTGCCTGACGCATAAAATTGCGGGGAAATAGTAAAGCAGCGCCACCACAGTCAGGTGCCTGACCTATAAAGCTGCTTTCTATAAAAATGCCAACTATAAAAATGCCATAATCACAGATATAACAAACAGTATTTCTCTCTTTACTATTTATTAGATCTCCAGAAGTCATATCTGGGGTCCACAGTAGTGTCTTAGCACTGTATTACACGGCAGGCGCGGATAGCTAACACACTGACCCTACTAAGCTACGACTCTATCTAACAATACCCCAATCCCTTGAACATTTAGAAGTAATAATTCCTTTTCCTAACTAATAATGTACTAATCCCAAAAATATTTAGTAGTATTTATTCCCTTTCCTAATCTAAAGCCTCTAGAGGTCACACGTGAGACACATTGTAGTGCCTGTGCACTACAGTGCGTCTCCCGTTCGGGTTTCAGTAGTTCTTTCATCTGCAGCTTTGCAGGGCATTTCTGCTGTGCCGCATTAAGGACTTGGCAAGAATTGAATGTTTACTCAGAACTCTAAGTCATAAGACACACAAGGAGTTTGCATCCCGCTGGGGCCACAGCGCTGTCTCCCCTGCGGGGCTTCTTCCTTGAGTGACCTGCGAACACAGTAGAGTACATCCTCTTTCGTTGTCCTCTGAATTCCCTCCTGTTACAGTTATATTCCATTTAGTCTGTGACATGTACATATTGCACTACCTGAAAGCAAGATAGTAGGAACTTCAGGATCCCGAGTTCCTGAGGGGTTTGCTCTCTGAGTGGAGGTTGAATGCTTCTGCTGGGGGTTCGCTTGTTGTCAGATGAAGTTTTCAAACGGGATGGGCATTAAGAGTTTCCTAGCGGTAGTAACCGCTAGCAGCTTGGCCCTCGTGGTGATTGAGTACTACAGGACACGGGTGGGCGCACTTAGAACTCTAAGCCCCATTTAAGCAGCCCTAAGCTTCAGTCGAATTTGCTTCAACAGTGATAGTTAAACGATATAGAGGCCTGGGGTTTATATTTGGTTCGCAGGATACATGGGGTTATGCTGCTCTAACCTACACCGACTTTTTCGCCTTCGTATTGGGGCTCATCGGACGTCCAATTGTCAGCCACTTCTTCGTTCCTGATGAGTCCTTCTGGAACACACCCGTGGAGGTAAACGCCAAATCATGAGACCAGGTCATACGGAGTTGCTTTTACAAGTGTTTCGGGCCCTCATGAGATTCCGGGGTTTTTGTTTAAGGTGTGCAGGTATCTGGGATCAAGTCCTCGGTGCGCATATCACGTGACAAGAATGGGCTTCCATATTTGAGCGCCTCCAGCAGTGAGCTAGTCAAGGCACAGAATAATTAGGGACCGGAGACGGAATGCCGTTGTAGTGCTCAGGGGCAATCGATTGTCAATAGCGCAAGCATCTGCACACACGGCGGGTTGAATGTGCAGAGTTTAGAATACCGGGGGCGGTGTGCTATTCTTAGGGGAGGACTTATGTTTTGGCCAAGGTTACCTGCACGCAACAGGTGAGTTCATGGCTCCTATGGGAGATGCGGCGTCCAGTCGGCGATGCTTTATCATGAACTCCCGTTTGTCATTGCGCACGGCAGCTAGGCTTTTCAGGGTTCTGCCTGTGGTTGACCTTTCCGCAGAGAGGCCTGTACAAATTGAGTTGTTGAGACTCATAGCAACAGGAAAATCTGCGGCTGTCCTTGGAGCATCTATGACTGACACTGACATGATCAGCAGGCAAGGGCTTATAGGGGGGCAGTTGGTGTGCTTGCTTGAGGTCTATAGAATGCTGGCGACGGCCGGGTCTCCCAAGAGGGAGGGGGTAGGATTCGCGAATTATAGGGTTTTCCGTCTTTCAGGACCGTCATCTCTGAAGAGGCGATGCTCCACAAGCTCCGCAAGCTGCCTCCTCATGGAGTAGCCTGCATGACTGCGTATACACGAGGCAAGTATATCTAAGGCACCAGACCCTGTGCGGCAGAAGAGGTTACTGTCTGTGCTTGCGCGCGTGTCTCGGTTCTTAGCTCGATGCCGCTGAGCTTTCTAAGTGTTGCTTCAATCCCAGATAATCTGAGGTCCGCCAAGGAACCCAACGACGAAACCTTGACCTGCCTAGCTGAGGGTGTGGATATGCGCCTACGCGCTCAGGCGTGACTGAGGCCTTGAGGTCTCTGCCTGCACGGCCAGTCGAGTTCGCACTGTTGGGGCACACGCCTTCTCTCCCCTTCACCTTGTTGGACATAGCTGCCATCTCCACCATCTACTCAATAATGCTAAACAGGGGACTGACCAAAGACTTCGTTAGAGTACACCTCAAGGATGCATTGGGCGACAAGTGGAAGGTAAAGAGCGGACGGTGAACGGCTCTGCATCGAGGCTGTAGTTTTTGGGGCACCCCTTGCTTACACAGACCTGCTACCTTTAGGCATCACGAGCTGCTCGTATGGCCCTTCTGCTGCAGCTGTTCGATTTCGGCTACCCCGAAGGGGTGCCTCCTTTGAACCCTGAGGGCACCGGCCCCAGCCTTTACGACCTCACAGGCAAGCCAATACCCGGCAGTCCCCCGCTGCTTACCAAGCAGCAGTGCTTAAAGTGGATAACCAGGTGTAGGGCCACCAGCTGTCGTGTTAGTCGCCGATGTGGGTCTCAAGGTCTGAAATCCATGGCATACGGATTGTCGTGCAGGCAAGCCTGTGAAGTTTCCTTCAGTGGAACTGAGGGATACGGAATGGGCAAAAAGGGGCCCCTCCGACTTCCCCGAGATGACAGAGGGGCCTTCTTCGCTTAATCCGGAGTTTGGGGGTCCTATGCACGATAGAGATCCCAACGCCAAGATTACGCGGGAGCGAATGGAACAGTTTAAGGAAGACATGCAGAGAGCGGAAGATTTCTACGACCTTAAGCACCCCAGACCGTGGACCACTGATAGACAACCAGAACAGACCAACACATTTAACCTGAAGATGGTGAGCGTACGGAATTCATGCGTATATTAGACATCTATATGCGCATGCTTCATGCTGTGGCTGCGGTGTGTGCAAGCAGCAGCGCATTCGTGCATGGTTGCACGGACGTGCTTTCGCGAGTCTGCGTGAGTGCGGCCTCCTCGTGCTCGTCTTATGGCACCGTCGGCTTGGATCCCACAGAATTGGTGGCTTTAACGGATCCAGTTGATGTTAGTGTCAGCGCTACCTGTTATGGGATCACAAGGGCCTGTGCAACTGCGTGCTTCTCTTCTTGTGCACAGGATGGAAGCAACGGCTGGGCAGTTTCTGGCAAGTTCACGAAAACAGGAATGCCCCTTTTGGCTGGAGACCCCCATATCGAAGTGAACGCACCAGGTAGTTTTATTTTTGCAGTAGTTTCGGGGCAATTACACTGATGAATTACTGCTTGTTGATTTGGTGTTGTGAATCTCCTGCATGCACACATATAAAACATGGCGGTGTGCTTTGACTTGTTGGTTTCAGGCTTCTGGATGCCGATGTGGTTGAAATCGGATGGCAAAGGAGACGGTCTCCCCATTCGTGCCGTCGGTGCCACGGCTGTGGGTATCACGGGCATGTTTGTTGGTGCGTTTGCGCTAGGGTCTTCACGCATCGGGCTGGTTACGGTCTCCCGGGTGAAGCTTTGCATATGGCGTTTTCGGTCACCTTATCTGTTCTATAACTCAGTGGGAGCGTAGAAGCCTATTCATCTTCTGAGTTGTTCGTTTGTACTTCCCGCAGGCCACAACGAGCACGCTGCATGGACCCAAACGGTAGCACACACGGATATTGAGGACTTGTATCTCATAGACCTTAATGAGGAGGGGACCCACTATTTTTATGGCGGCAAGCAATATCCTCTCAAGATCATCGAACATAGCATATACGTGAAGGCAAGCTGCGGTTGGGGGTTGTGGTTTGATGTTGTTCCAGTTTTTGGGCAACTGGAGGTATATCGTCTGCGGAGCTGGACGCCAAAGTCTACGGTTTGCAGTATTCGATGGCCTAGGGTCTTGTGTTGGCGCGCAGGGCCGCCCGAGTCCCATTCGTCACATTGCTCGTTACAGCCACCATGGACCCCTATTTTCCGACGCAGTCCCTCCTCTACGGAAGGGCCTAAAAAAAAATCAGGCCCTCGTCTTTGCCTCTGTAGCTCGTGAGTTTTAGGCCTTTGTCTAGCCTTAAACCTCAAGGCCTCCTTTTATGACCGTCTACTATGCGCACTGAAGCATCTTGTCTCAACTGCCAGCTGTAGTTGACGTACCCCAGAGCAGACAGACTGCTTTGCCGCTCGTTTGTGATTCCTGAGGGGGCACCAGTGCGTTGCCACCAAAGCAAAGGTTTTGCTATGTGGGGCTTGTGAGCAGTGCGCGCCCCTTTGCCGGCGGCCTGGGCAGAGAAGATGCTATTTGGAAAGACCTGGAAGGATTACATTGAAATGGTGAGTGTCGGTGGATGCTTAGAAGTGTCGGCTTGCGCCCTGTAATGTAGGAGTTGGTGTTGGTTACGGCGATGCAGGGTCTAGTGTCTGTGACGCCGACGATTTTTCTGCGCAGGGGCAGCACGCGCAAATGAACGAGTTCGTCTGCATCTGGGCAACCAAGGAAGGTGCAATCGGGGCTTCTGTTACGGGCGCGGTCCCTGTGAGGCCATACAGCCCTGATCCCCAGTTCAGGAATGGCTCTGACCCTGAACAGGACTGGAAGGTGCGTATGCGGAACCCCCGAAAGCCACATTGGCCCGGAGTAGGCAGGCGAGCGCACATATGGCATTTACCAATTCGGTCGGCACCACGGCGGATAGTTACCCAGCCGCGTGCGGCCGTTACCTTGGGCGCTAATCCTTTTCTTGTGCCAGTGTAGGAAGGGAAAACAACCGTCCTTTGCATGGTTTGCCAGTGTTCAAGTGAGTGTTGTACTACTGCAGGGTGCAGTCCCTCAGGAACAAATTCCGTTTGTGATGAACCCAAAGGACGGGATTCTCGTCGCTGGGAATTCGGTTATTGCAAACGACCCGAAGAGGATCTTCGGCGAGGTTTTTGTCCCAGGGTGCGCACACGCAAATTTTAACAGTTCTCTGTTTGTAGATTTCAGTGACACTTCAGATCCACGCCGAACTTGCATAACCGACCTGCACACGCGGAGGCAGGAACACCACCAGAAACTGGTGGTAGCCGGGTTCAGGGGTTCCTGTATTGCCTGAGAGCTTGCGATTGCCTCTGTTATACAGGCATCGCGTTCGTCGTGCGCACCAGCTGCTGAATGAGCTGAAGAGCAAGAAGAAGATTGAAGTTGAGGACCTTATCAAGATGCAGGTGCCTATTTCCGTGCATTGCAAATAACATTGTCTGACAGTAGAAGGTCACCTTAATAGATATTTGGCTTCTCTTTAATAGTGTGTGGTTTGAAAGGACACAGCCTTCGGAGCTTGCTGTATATGGTACTCGTAGGGTTTTGTATTGGGGTGTCAGCATTCTGCGTGTGCTCTTGGCGATTTCGCAGGAAGACCAATTCAGCGAGCACGGTTGCGAGTTCAGAGATTTCGTACTGAAGGAGTTCCTCAGCCGTTTTGACCTCAAGAATGACCAAAATGAGGCCGCGGCCCTTTGCGCAGAAGAGGGCCTTACTCCCTACGTGGCTCGATTGTCAGATACACTTTGGGGCATTGGCAGTTGCATCCGCGGACTCCCTTTGTGGCGTATGGACCGTTTCAGGTGGTAGTTCTTGTTCTTGTTTAGGTGTGGAGAGTTGGAAGTGTTCAAGAGACCAGGCGCATACGGTTCTGTGTGAGCAGGCTGAAGTCCGCAATGGAGTCTTGGGACTGTTCGATGAATGCATCCTCAAACGGGGCTTCAGTTTACGAGGTGTGGCTTCAGATGATGTTGCAGGAAGTATTCTCCGCGAACAACTGGACGGATGAATCTCTGTTCTCCCTAGTGGGTGGGTGATGCAAAGCCCCGAAGGTTTATAATGGGAGCATGCGTTTAGTGTTGAGTGATTGAGCGAACAGATTGGTAGACAGGAAGGCAAGAGCAGTTGATGCTTTGTGTTTGTTGCGAGCTGTCTGCAGGGGGCTGGATGCACCCAACGTGGTTGCCGCGCACTGAGGCCCTCAACCACTGGCGTATTAACTTACTATCTGCTCTGAAAGATAAGAGTAGGCTGAACTATAACATGGGGCCCGACTTTTATATTTTGGAGCCTATGCCTTAGCTAGCTTGCGGCGATGGGATGCGCACCATTTTCGACGGAGTCTGACCTCTAGTTCGTTGTTGGCAAGGCAGTAGCTTTAGCCGACCGTCCAGTGACTGGCATCTGCCTGCTTGTGCGCGTCTTCATGGTTTTGCGTCTTGTTTTGTATAAATTTGTTTTGAAGAAGGATGGCATCTGTTTCGCCTGCATCTCAGATTCGGGTCTCCTCCCTGCCGGGTATCCGGTGTCTCGTTTGTTTTGCAAGTCCGCCTATGAAACACTAATGTACCTAGTTGGTCGCCTGGGTCCAGAAGTGAAAGACTGGGATTGGGGGAAGTTGAGGAGTCGCTATATTGATCATGTCTTCGTTAAGGATGCACCCATCCTTAGGAACCTGCTCAGCGTGGGGCCGCTGAAGTGGGGAGGAAACTTTGGCACCCTCAAGGCTCACCACTTCGAACCTCACAGTATGACAGCAAGCACTGTGGCAAATTAGCGTTGCTAGTTCTCCTGGGTGTTCGGTAAGGGCGCACGCCGAAACATCGTGTGAGTTGGATTATTTTTCTAAGCTTTTCTTTTGTTTCTGCAGTTCTCAAGTCCGACGACCCCCTTAGTGGCAACTTCCATCGAGGAATCGACGCAACTTCTCTTAGGGTGGTACGCCTACCACAATTTTCGTTGAGGGCCTAAGGTTTCGTTCTATGCAAACATTGTGGTGTTTCGTCGTTACTTAGTCGTTCATATGCTTTAATGGTGTTTGTGGCATCGGTTATTGCGGACACGCATGCTCCTCGTAGCAGTGTGTTTGCAGATAATAGTTAAGGTTGGAGGATGCTTGTATTCTTATACACTGCAGGTGTTCGACTTAAACAATTGGGAAAATTCGCGCTGGGCGTACTTCCCTGGCATTTCAGGATGGGTCGGCAGCAAGCACTTTGGAGATACCGCACAGTTCGTCGAGGACGGGCAAGGTGTGATATTACCAAAGCATCGGCCCGAAAACTATGATCCCGTCAAAATGGCGGCTTGCATTGAAATGCATGCCTAGTTGTGTGCCTCTAGCATGAAGTTATGGCTAGCAATCTCATTGCACCCAGCTTGGCACTGCTCTCTGTGCCGTCCGGTATGGTAGTTGTGGATATCACACTAGGCGCCTGTGGTGTGGTGTGCCAATTTGGGTTGCATATGCAGAGAAACTGTTCCCCATGCCGTGGGATGAAGATAAGATTGAAGCATCTCTGGTTTCTACTAAAGTTTTACACCCCAGGGAGCACAAGCAGGAGCCTCAGGAGCAGAGACAGCAGCCGCACAAGCAAGAGTTCTAGAGTTGGAGAGGCCGCCTCGCAGTGGAACCCGCAGAAGCTCTTTATTTGCTAGGCAGAAGCAACAAGAGCCGCAGGGGCAGGTGCTTTCTCAAAGCAGAGGGTGTGGGGAGCTGCTGCTGCTTCTTGCTGCTGCTGCTGCTCCTTGCTGCTGCTGTTTGCTTGCACAGAAGCAGAAACAAACATAACCAATACCCTTTTAAATATGCATGCATGCATGCATGTATTTTAATGCATGCACGCATGCATGCATTAAAATAGTACGCTATAGCGTACTGGAGAACCGTAAATGTTGGGCTGAGTAACGATTAACGGGAGTTAGAGACTAGCCAGAAGAACCACAACCCTAGCGGGTTTTCTGTGGATTGCTTGTGCGAAGCAATTCTTCAGGAGCGTCTACGTTCCCCTCTGGAATCAGCGGTGGCGAGCCAATCGTGGGCATTAGGACCAATTTTGGGCTCCCAGTAGATGCTCGTTGATAGATGCTTGTTCAGTTATGAAGAGACGCTCATCTCGATGAAGCCACCGGCTCTCCTGCTCCAACTATTTTCCTCCATCTGTGACTCGAACTCATCCTGTCTTCGCATAGAGCTCGCTAAGCAGTGCAAAGAACAACCTTTTCGCTGCTTTTAGGGTTGCTAAGAGATTCGCGTTTTGGTGTTCGGTCTAACGTTTGCCTAACTGGAGCACTGATGCTACGCGCCGGTGGAATTTCGTTGTTTATATTCTCATTGAAGAGCTTATTAAAAGAAGCTACCAAACCAGACGAGCAGACCTTACAGCTATACTCGGGCCTCTGGCCTCTGAGCGTGAGCGCAACAGCTAGAGTTGGGTGGAAGGAACGATCCCTGGCAGTGCTCACGCAGTAAGCTTCCCCCCGCTCCCAGGCGCCCCTACTAGGGAAGTTAGTGCATTTAGGAGTCCGTATCCGAGTAGCAGGAAATGGCCCCCAAACACGTCTACACAGGGGCAGGAGGGCCTTCCCTCACAAACGCAGGCCACGTGGCAGTGCATGGAGCCCACTGCCCAGGAATCTTTCAACCTTCAATGAAGCGCAATGAGGGGGACAAAGGGAGCAGAGGACGGGAGACCATGCAAATTCCCATATTGGGAAACTTGGGAGCGGGAAGGAACTTAGTTCGACCTCCACCTAAGCTTGTAGAAGTATACTCCGTGAAAATAACACAATATGTTAGTTCTAAACCACACGACCTCGGCACGAAATAAGGTAAATCGGATACTCGTGCTCAGCAGCCTCACAGGGGGCGACATAGCCGATGCATTCACAGACCTCTTCCAACCCAGGGGGCGGGGGTGGAGGTTTTGGGGTGTTTGTAGGGAGCGGGGATGTCTTAAAGTTCAGTCACGCTAAATTAGTGCCTTGTCGTCGTTGAGCGCAATGCACTAAACCAAGGGGCACAAAGGTCTATACTGGGAGTTCTGAGTGAGGCAACGTGCTATAGTCGTTCGCATAAGACATCCCCAGAAACCCACTAGGGGCTTCGGCGGCGCTAAATTACTCAGCGCAAAATTTTGGATATCTGTGGCCTCTGGGGCATTACAAAGCGCTTTAGATATGGAAGGTGGGCAAAGAGATAGGAGAGCTGTCGCAGTTCCCCGCTGTATCGATTCCAGATATTTCGCCTATACCTTACTGCCTTGCTTGCTTGTGCTGTCGTGACTCACGCCACAATATAGCCATGAATTGTTTGTGGCATGCTGCTGTTTGGGGAGAGAAGATCTACCAATGCTGTAAAGAAATTGTTGGTGTCGTCGGTTGCAAGAGTTCTGGACCGCGCGTGAGCTGCGTTGACTATAACACGACCACCACAAACCATCTGGAGTCACATGCTCGCATCCAGCACATCAAATGCACGGTGGGTCAGCATTTGCCACAATATTTCAGCAGAATGCCTCCACGTGATTTGACTGACTCAATCGTGCCGAATGCGTTTAGAATAAAATAGTGTGCACTTCCACTCGTTGCTCCCCGGCATCCTCTGTCTGCAATGGGACACCATTGGCCGGCCCGAATTGAGGCCTTACTGCCAAAAGCCAGTGGCGTACGTTAGCAGCCTTACACTTCCCCACGCTGTTCGCAGCTGCTCGGGATTGCGTGCGGGAAGTACAGGATTGGCAAGATAGACAGTACCACGAACGGCGTTCAGCAGATCCTGTCAGCCAAGACAACTTGTTTGTACTGGGTTAGGACCCCCTCCTGGGCTCGGCAAGCGCGCGGCAAGCGGGCAGCCGAAGAAGTTTGTTGTACAGTGGGTAGGATCTCTTGCTGTTCCTTCTCGTGTCAGTGTTTTTATATGCATATTCAACTTACGCTCAACCAGGATATTTCATGACACAATTAATGTTGTGTTAATGTTGATTTTCTAAAATGATTGAAGGACTCACCGGAGTTTCCCCGCTAGCTTTCCTCGCGAAGAGGCAGCAAGGTCGTGGGGGTACAAGTCACAACTGCAAACCTTAAACACTAGCGAAGCAGTTGGCAGAAGATGAGACCGCTCTTATATTACACTGAATGGCCCAAAAATGTCAGGGTGATTTGGTTTCGGAGCATGTTCTGTGCGAAGCTATTCCTAGCGATCGTGGACAGGCCAGCTTTGCTTCATCAGCAAGGGCAGGCATGCATTTGGATGGTGCAGCTAAAGATTAGTGAGCTGTGACTAAATTAGCCGTAATCGCTGCCGTTATAGAGACCAGAATGCCCCGAACGCTTGTATTGTGTGTACTCTGTTGTTTTGACCTATTTTCTGATCTCTAACCAACCATGCGAACATCACAAGGCGGAGGGAGTCTCCAACCATGCAAAGTCAGTATATATCATTGACCAAAGCGGCGGTGAATTTCGCGTATTTGGCGCATCAGGAAGCCTGCGCAGCTGCCGCAGCAGCTGGTCTTCAGTGATCTCGGCAATTAACTCATTTTCTAGATGATAGAGGGAGTGGTGCACGGGTACGAAGTGAGCGGAGCAGCCGGAGGTCGCCTGGATTGTGGGTTAAGAGGAGGGAACTCCAAATCAATACAGCTATATCCAGGGCCTAGACTGTCACAAAAGGAGGCGTGCTGCTTGTGCCATTGGGGGCGACAGATGCAGCGTCCTCTGCCCAACGTTGGCAATTCTATGGAAGGTGGCATATAAACACTGTCCCACCCTTTCAGGAAATTGCTTTGCGACTCATGGCAGGTCGCCTCCCCCCTCGCAACTCCAGGAGCCGAAACTGCTGGCTTCATGACACCTGGAGACTGCAGTGGTATGCCACAAGCATCTATGATACACTCATATTAACTACTTCGGCTCTACTGCATATCACAACAGTCATCAGAAAGGTACAAGAGTCGAGGTGCACTTCCTGCATATGCACACCCAGGTATTAATTGTTGCATGCACTACCACTCTCTGGAATTGTTGAATATTTATGCTTAAGGTCAGCTCCCTGCTTGTACACAGGCTGCCTAGTAGGGCTTACTTAGTCTTCATTGGCTAACAGGGGACAGACCATAGTATAGTACGCAACAACGTGCAGCCAAACGCGACGTGCAGGCGAACACAAGGCCTATTCTGATACATTCATTGATAGTGTAGACAATGTGCCAATAGTATGTTTGATTTTTCTAGGTGGAATGTCGTTAAATTCACCCATCACCGTTCGACCCTGCTAAAACGAGCACTGTCTCCGTGCTATGCACAGGTATTCCCTGCTTACTTAGTGGATCTGATCCATAATACTGAGCCCCATTCTTAATGTTACATAGTTAGGAAGCCATGGAATGGTTTTCACTGTTGCCTCAATAAGCACCGGGTCATCGACCAAGCGGAGCCGCGCAAGCACGACATTTTGGGGCTGGACCACAAAGCTACTGCATGCGGAAACAAATTTTGCAGTTGGTTCTTCAAGACTTTGCCGTTCAACTTCGAGTGCAATGGTTATTTGTCTTCCCTTCAACCACGGGGAAATCAAGATAGTGTTTAACGCTACGCGAAAGATGTGCCACAAGCACATGCAAGGTTCTTGGGGGCTGCTCGTTATTGCCTCCGTGTAGGCAAGCCCTCCCTGTTGCCCTTTTTTTTTTCCCAATTTACCATACATCTCGAAATATAAGGCTTATTTCCGCTAATCAGGGGCTGCGTAACCTTCCCCCTCATACTCGCGTACATAAGCCGGGCTAAGCGAAGATGGCGGAGGCATTCGAGCGCTTCAAGCGCTTCGAGTACAGGCAAAATAGTAACCTTGTCTTACAGCGTGACCCTTACCTAACTGGAGCTCCAGGTGGGGCTCACCAGGGGGAGCCCACAGGCGAACCCGAGACCCTCGCCGGGAGAAAGCTGTACCCTATGGGTGACAAGGCCGAACGGGGCCTTAAAAAGGAAGAAAAGGAGAAGATTGGAAAGAGAAGGAGCAAGCTTAAAGAGGGGGGGATCGCCAAACGAAGCAAGCTGGTAAAAAACACACCCGTGCGCACCTTTGGATTTTATCTATGAGCCCAGGAGCAAGCAGTAACCCTGTCCCTTTTTGTTGGGGGGGTTTACTGGCAATAACTTATTGCCAGAAGGCCTATGCATAGTATAACTGTGTAGGAAGTTGACTTAACCACGGAATAAAACGATGACAAGCATGGCAGCGACGAAATGTTTGCTGAAGGTGAAGCTATAGGAGTGTGGGCGGTGATGGCTTTCGCTCTCCTTTTGATCTGTATTTTGTTTACAGGACATCAAGAAGGGAGCTACAGTGCTTGATGCAGATGTGACGGAGAATTTCTTTTACAGGCCGACCACGCGCGTCACCAACCAGGTATACGAACAGCTGCTCGTTGTTCTGCAGCAGCAGTTGGGGGATCAGCCCGACGAAGTGCTTCGAGGCGCGGCCGATGAAGTGCTACAGGTCTTGAAGGAGGATGGGCTTAAAGAGGGGGAGCGGAAGCGCGGTGTAGAAGGAGTTCTGGGCCCCATCACCCAAGAACGGTTTACGAAACTGTTTCAGCTATCCAAGAGCATCACCGACTTTATGACCGCAGACCAAGACAGGGACGAAGCAGGTGAACTAGCGTCCTAGTTGAGGCTTCTTTCGGAGCCCGAAATGTAATGTGCTGTGATCTGTAGATAAACGTTTGATCTTGAGCTTTACTTTCGATAATTATCTTCTGGCGTTACTACACGACCCTGTGTGCGCTGAGGCCTTGCGATTCTTCCCTCATGTGTATGCGCACGCCCTTCTTGGTGCTACTTTGGAACTTCCTGGCTTAGGTGCTGCGTTGAATGGTAGAGCAGGAATACCGGCAGCATCGCCAGCTTTTGGGGTGCTAGCCGTATTCCTCACTAGCCATGCCGCCTGTCGTGGCTTTGGAATGTGTACGCTTACTGTCTGCGTTTGTAACTGTGCGTTCTTCGATTAGTGGAAACTCATCTACGCATCAGGTGCTTCGAAGAAATCCAGGATGCCTTCATGCATTCTTGATGAGACTGCATCTGCATGCGAAAGCTGCTTCTTGACTTCCGTGAAAATCGTTATGCCGTAGTTTGCTCCGTCCATCTGTTCAGGGGAGCCTGATACGACGGCAGGGGTTGCGGTGGTGTTTGATGAGGAAGATGAGGGAGAGGATGACTATGGCTACTCGGACATGGAGGCGGAGGGTGAAGACGAGGACGATGAGGAGACGGAAGAACAGGAGGAGAAGGAGAGAACATATTTAGCGGCGAAGAACCTCGATGAGGAGGAAGTAGACAGCGCAGAATCGGCATACTGTGTTGATGTGTCCAAGATTGATCCTCACTGGCTGCAGCGCGAGCTGAACGCTGTCTTTTCCGACCCGAACCAGGCTGTAGCGACGGAGAAGGAGATCTTGTCTATTCTTCCCATCCCGGATATTCAAGAATGTGAGAACAAGCTGGTGCTGATTCTGAAATATGAGAACTTTGAGCTTGCCAAAAAGATACTCAAAAACAGATGGAAACTGTTCTACTGCATTAGGCTGGGGCAGGCGCAGACTACAGAAGAGAAGGAAGGTATTCGGGAGGAAATGAAAAATACCCAAGAAGGTCAGGAGGTCCTTGAGCTGCTAGATGCACTCACATCACGCCGCAATAAAGAAAAAGAGGTCACCTTAAATGTCCGCAAAGAGGCAGCAACGCTTGCCGCCAAAGCCCAGGTAAACAGCACTCAAACCAACCGCATGCAGACAAGCGGCGTATTGCTGGATAGGATATACTAGAGTTGGTATCCACAGTGTGAGTATGAGCTGGCTTATTTGTCGCCTAGTCGCATCGTGACAGCTTCCAGGCCGTTGCGTAAGATGACTGTGCTCTGCTACCTCTTTTGCATGCAAACGGCCAGGCGAACTGTGTAGATATGCTTGCATATAGTAAATGATGTCCGTTGCAGGCGCGTGATGCCTCCCTTCGAGCTGCAGAAGCAGATGATGACTCAGCTGCGTTGGGGGGTGGCGCCCATGGCACCCCTGGGGGACATGGGGGCCCCACTAGCCAAGCTACCCAGCGCAAGCCTACCGGTTCCGTTGACTTGCAAAGCATTGCCTTTCAGCAAGGCAGCCATCTAATGGCAAATGCGAAGGTCAAGCTGCCAGATGGGACTCAGAGGATCGAGACGAAGGTAAGCATTAACCCATGTGCTATCCCGGCGCGCTCCATGGGCACGCCTTAGCGAGAGGTGTAAATCTTAGACATGTTTCTGGCCAGCATTTAACAAGGTATTAATCACTGCGGTGGAGCCTTTGCTCTAATGTCTGGTCTCGATAATTTTGCCGTAAAACAATTCCGTCCTTACGGAATCTAGGTTGGGAGGAGACGAGCGATAGCTGGACAGTTTGTGTATTCTTTTCAGAGCTACGACGAAGTAGTTGTTCCGGCTTTGAAGAGGCCGGTGGAGAAGTCAGAAGGTTTGCGGTTAATATCTACGATGCCAGAGTGGAGTCAGCCGGCCTTCACCGGTGTAGGAATTGAGCGTTTGAACGCTCTGCAGTCAAAAGTGTACGACGTTGCCTTCGATGCTTACGAAGAGAATCTGCTGCTGTGTGCCCCCACCGGAGCGGGAAAAACGAACGTGGCCATGTTGGCCATGCTCAACGTGATAGGACAATACAGGAACGCTTCCACCGGATCCATTGATCTGAAGGGATTCAAAATAATCTACATTTCGCCCATGAAGGCATTGGTGGCAGAACAAGTTCAGGCATTCTCGCAGCGGTTGCAGCCATTTGGTATTTCAGTCCGGGAGCTCACTGGTGACGCGAATTTGACGAGAGAAAAGATTGAAGAGACACAAGTCATTGTCACAACGCCTGAAAAATGGGACATCATCACCAGGAAAGCTGGAGAAAGGGCTTACACCCAGCTTGTTCGCCTGGTGATCATCGACGAAATTCATTTGCTTCACGACACGAGAGGGCCAGTGCTGGAGGCTATAGTGGCACGTACCATCCGTCAGATTGAAATGTCTCAAGAGCACATCAGACTAGTGGGGCTTTCTGCCACTCTGCCCAACTACGAAGACGTAGCGGTATTCCTAAGGGTCAAGCCGGAAAAAGGCCTATTTGTTTTCGGCAACCACTACCGTCCTGTTCCTCTCAAACAAACCTATGTAGGGATCAAAGACAAGAAGGCCATCCGGAGATACAACACAATGAACGACGTCACCTACGAGAAGGTATGGCAGTACTCAGTATTTTATATGCCCCATTTGAAGTGGTCCGATCCAAAGGGTGACTGTGCATATATTTGTGTGTGTGATTCCAGTCATATTTTACTGGATGAGCAGCGTGTGGCCGTAGTTGCATGTCTCGGACTTGCTGTTGTGACCATGCATCCAGCCCATCTCATGATTTGCAGCCTGCCATTTCTCCCCGTGTGGTGCTGGTCTCTGGATTTGCAGGTTCTGGAGTGCGCTGGAAAGAACCAAGTACTGATATTTGTGCACAGCCGGAAGGAAACGGTGAAGACGGCGAAATTTATTTGCGATGCAGCGTTGCAGAAGGACACATTACCTCGTTTCCTGCAGAACTTCTCAGCTAGTCGGGAGATTTTGCAGGCCGAGGCGGAAGCTGTCAAGACACAGGACCTGAAGGACTTGCTGCCCTACGGCTTCGCAGTTCACCATGCAGGGCTCCCCAGAACGGACAGAAAGCTGGTAGAAGACTTGTTTGCAGATAGGCACATTCAAGTGCTCGTTTCTACTGCCACTCTCGCGTGGGGTGTCAACTTGCCTGCCCACACAGTCATAATCAAAGGTCAGTTTTCTATGCTGTCACAACCTTAGCGAGTGTCGGTGTGCGTAGCGCAACGCATGGGAGGCAGACAAGGCCCGCAGTGGAGGATCTGTTCTGCAAACGTTTTCGCACAACGGATGGAGGTGACACGATTGTATTTTTTTATGCCGCCAATGATGTGAATGCACAGACATGGCGCCTCTTCTAGATGCGCGGTGAAGTTCTTGCAATAATATCTCAGTGCAGCACTTAGCCTATTGAGGAGTGATTATTTCTCAACGCAACCCCCCACGTACTCCTTGTGAACAGGGACGCAAGTGTATCTGCCGGAGAAGGGAGCATGGTCGGAGTTGTCGCCGATGGATATTCTACAGATGATGGGGCGAGCTGGACGACCCCAGTACGATACTGGAGGCCACGCCATCCTGATTACCCAGCATAGTGAACTACAGTTCTACCTCTCCCTCAACAACCAACAGTTACCCATCGAGTCGCAGATGATTCATTGCCTGCCCGACATGCTCAACGCAGAAATCGTCCTTGGTCAGTTACCTGCCCCTTTTTTTTGGCAGCTGCTCTTATATGTCATGTCTGACCGTCGGAGGGAACGGAAGAGCATTTGTTGGCAGAGAGCTAGTAATTTGGTAGGTTCTTTTAAGTTTCGAAAGATTGGGTTGTCCATGCTGCTCTTTGCGCATCAGGATCCGTCAGGAGCAGGGAAGATGCCGTGCACTGGCTGGGCTATACATATCTATACGTGAGGATGCTGAAGGCGCCTTCGCTATACGGTATCCCACCGGACGTGGTTGTGGGTGACAAGCTTCTTGAGCAGTACTGCATTAACCTGGCGGACTCAGCTCTCAAGACATTGGATAGGCACTTTCTCATCAAGTACGATAAAAGGACTGGAACCATCCATGTAACAGCAATGGGCCGAGTTGCAAGCCACTACTACATCAAACACGCAACCATTGCAGTGTACAACGAGCACCTGAAGCCTACTCTCTCGGACATCGAACTGCTACGTCTGTTCTCTCTTTCCTCCGAATTTAAGTACATGCCCGTTAGGGAGGAAGAAAAACTGGAACTGCAGAGGCTGATGGAGAGGGTTCCCATCCCAGTGAAGGGTTCGCCTGATGAACCTTCTTCTAAGGTCAATGTCCTATTGCAAGCGTATATAAGCAAGCTAAAGCTGGAAGGGTTTGCCATGATGGCGGATATGGTGTATGTTCAACAAAGCGCAAACAGAATCATGCGCGCTATATTCGATATTTGCTTGAGGAGAGGATGGGCACAGCTTGCCATAAGGGCCCTGCAACTCTGCAACGAGATCCAGGGTCGCATGTGGAGCACCATGACTCCCTTGCGCCAATTCAAAGTCAGTAAATTTTTAGCTTTGTCTGTTCCTTGAAATGTGCTTGGTATTTATGAGTAGTCTTTATCAACACTTTTTTCTTTGGCTCGCGTGAGTGTCCCGAGGGTTTTGGTTTTGCTTTTCGTGCTGGAGTACCCTCGTCTTATGTGTCACTTTTCACATGGGTACTAATGTGTTTGCTGGGCAATTTAACACACCTTAAGCCGTCATTTTCCCTGCATCTGTACTGAAACCAATGTGCCCACCTGTGCACTGCACTTCGACCGTTCTCGAGGTTCGTTGCGCGCTTCAGCTTGCATATGAACTTCGCGTTAGTTTCGTCCTCGAGGCTACACGTCCACGCTCGTTTTGGGCCTGCTGTGATTCAGGTTCTGCCTGAGGAGTTGTTGCGCAAAATTGAGAAGAAAGACTTGCCTTTCGACCGCTACTATGATTTGACATCAACTGAAATAGGCGAACTTGTGAGAGTGCCAAAGATGGGAAAGCTGCTGCATCGGCTGATTCACTCCTTCCCGAAACTGGAACTTGCAGCGTTTGTGCAGCCGCTTAGTCGTTCCTGCCTTGTTGTTGAGCTGACAATCACGCCAGATTTCCAGTGGGACCCGAAGATCCACGGTAACGGCGAAGTCTTCTGGATTATTGTGCATGACGTCGACTGCGAGCAGATTCTCCACCATGAGGTCAGCGCGTACTGCTCATACACACAATGTAACTGGACCGCAGTTGAACTCAGCCTCTTGGTTGCCGGTTAAGAACTATCCGAGATGCTGTGTCATTTCAGGATTTTGAAAGCCATGCTGCCTGCTGAGTCTCCGTGACCTTTGCTTTATTTATGCTATTTGCGCAGATGTTCATCTTACCAGCATTCCAAGGAGAAGTTGAACATACCCTAACTTTCACTTTGCCAGTGACCGACCCGATCCCACCTAGCTACTGCATCCGCGCCATTTCAGATCGCTGGCTTCACTCCACGGCGTCACTGCCCATATCCTTCAGAAACCTCATTTTGCCAGAAAAGCCAATGCCTCATGCAGAGCTGTTGGATCTGCAGCCCCTGCCGGTGTCGTCTCTGCACGATAAGAAGGCGGAGGAACTGTACAAGAAGGAAGGCATTAAAGCGTTTAACCCAATTCAAACGCAGGTAACAACGAATTGAATTCACAACATCTGTGTCAGTTTTTCCTGTGTTTTGCTTCGTGGAAACCATAGGAGTGTGCTCCATTCCGGGCCACTTGTACTCTGGAATTTCATGCAGTGCCAAGTTGAAACGTTGGCCAGTGGCTGTTGGATATTGAAATATCACGTGTGCAAGTGCTTTCCAGTTGCATTCAGCTCATACTCCAAGACTTTCTGTGCGTTTAGGTTTTCTCTACACTGTACTCAACCAGCGAACCTGTTTTGCTATGTTTGCCGCCGACAAGCGGGAAGGAGATTTGCATTGAGTTCGCCATCTTGCGGATGCTTAAGACGGAGCCATCTAGTTCTTGGAAGGCGGTTTACCTTGCTCCTTATTCATCTGTAGTACAGGAGACACTGCGACAGTGGAGTTCCAAACTGGGTAGTGGCCTAGGGTTGAAAATTGCAGAACTCACGGGCGACTTGCATGCAGATTTGAAGGTACGGTTCCTTACTAGGAGACTCTCCAAGAGAAGCAATACAGTGCCACTGAACGCCTTTTGGAAGCACAGTGGAGAAAATTGGAGCTTGAAACTGTTTCGTATCTCGAGAGCATGCGAGCGGGGCCTTAAACAGTGTGAACGTGCCGTACCTCGAGGTTGAGGGTGTCTGCGCATGCCCCGTTGCGTATGCATATGCAGATTTTGGAGCAATCGCACATTGTGGTATCTACACCGGAGAAATGGGATTTCTTATCTCGTCGCTGGAAGACCCGCAAAGTGTTGCAGTCGATCCGCCTGTTAATAGTGGACGACCTGCATTTGCTCAACTCCCCTGTCGGTTCAACTCTCGAAGTTTGCCTTTCAAGGATGCGGTACATCTCCGCGCAGCTACCTCAGCCAGTCCGCATTGTCGCATGTGCCAATTCTCTTTCAAATGCAAAAGACGTCGCAGATTGGCTTGGGGTATCCGCTACTGGTGAGCAATAAAGCAGCCAACCCGCATGACAATTCCTGTGGCAAATAGGTGCACAAAAAGCACCCTCTGGAGGGTTGGACCCGCAGCAGTCGCTCATCTAAACGTTCCGACGTAACATGATTCCTGAACGCTAGGCGTTGCAGAGGTGGCGCTTGAGTGCAGGTGCAGTAGCACACAATGCAACTCAGGAGTCTGGTTTTTGGTTCGTTAGAACACCGATAAATTATATTTATTTTGCTTCTGACAATGTTTGATTTCGAGACAAGCCGGTGCTTTTGCGCTTCAGGTCTGTTCAACTTTCATCCGAGCGTGCGCACTGTGCCGTTGGAAATTTCTTTGCACGGCTTTGATGTGTACAACAGGGATGCGCGTTTGTTGGCCATGTCTCGAGCGGTGCATCAGGCGATAAAGCTCTACACGGCACCAACTGATGACAGCAGGAGCCGCAGCAGCCGCAAACTCAAGAACGTTCTCGTATTCTGCTCAGATAGGAAACAGTGCAGGTTGACAGCGATCGATCTCCTGCTGCAAACGGCAGCTGACGATCAGCCGAAGAAGTATCTGCACGTTTCAGGCAAGCGACACCCACTATGTTTTTTTGTGGCCCAACGAATGTGAAACTTTCCTGTTTGACTGCACGGATTGGCAGTGGCGATATGAAGAAATTTTTGCGGCTTCCGTACACTCTCTTCTGTCGCTCGCGCAGATGATACCATGAAGCAGTATACGTCGATTGTGCGCGATAAAATGCTGCTAGAAACGCTCTCCTACGGCGTTGGCCTCTATCATTCGGGCTTGTCCGCTGCTGAGCGGCTGCTGGTGCAGCAGTTGCACTCGAGCGGGGCCATTCAAGTTGTAGTTGTGGCGGAGGAGTCCGCGTGGGGCCTTCAGATCAGCTCCCATTTGGTTGTTGTTGTCGACACCAAACGGTTCACGGAAAACGGGTGCGTCTGCGTACTAGTGGCAATTAAAGTCATCGGAGCTCATTCAGAAGCGGTTAGCGAAGAGTACAAGCAGACAGAGGGGATCGGAGGTCAACAGATGCAGACTGTGGCCCTTGAGTCTTGGTAGCATCCGTTAACTGTTTCTAATCTCGATACTTGGATCAACACGTTCGTGCATGCAATTTCAAAACGTCAGCTTGCCTTGAGTGTATCACCTATTTCTGTTGATTTTAACGGTGATTGCATTGCAGGTACGAAGATTACCCAATTGCAGACGTCCTACAGATGTTGGGCCGCGCGACGCGTCCTGGAATTGACAAGCACGGATACGTGGTGCTTCTTTGCCCATCCAGCAAGAGGGAGTTTTACAAGAAATTTATATTTGAGCCGCTGCCGATAGAGTCTCAGCTTGAGCAGCACCTGCAAGACCACGTTAATGCTGAAGTCGTACTCAAAACGATCGAAAGCAAGCAAGATGCCGTCGACTGGCTCACTTGGTCCTTCCTTTACAGAAGACTCTCTAAGGCAAGTGGCGAAGTGATTTGCACACCTAGACAACAGCCGTACAACGTAGTAGTAGGCAGAGAACAGCTGCACACTAAAGTGTGTGTTGGTTGCGGTTGGGGAGGGTAAGAAGTTTGCCTGCTGGCCACGCTGGGTGGTGTACAGGGTGAACTCGGTGTCTAGGGGTTCCCTACCTTTTCGATTTTCTTCTGTCTTTGCGTGTGCTAATGTACGGTTTTGATGTGTGCATGCACCTCTTGCACATGCGTTTGGTGTCGCAAAGGGTGCTCTGCTCCTGGACACGCCAACTTGTGCTGCACATAGCTCACGGAAAGTAGTGCCTTTTTTTGTCGTTCTAGCCTGAAGTCAACAACATTTGCATCATATCGTCTTTACTTTACATGTTGAAAAATGGGAAGCCTATGTCACTTTGCCTTTGTACACTCAAGTGTGTACAGAGGTGTGTTGGATGCGTGCTGTTACTTATCGGTCGCTGCAGAACCCCAACTACTACGGCCTCCAAGGAACTTCGCACCAGCATTTGAGTGATTATTTGTCGGAGTTGGTGGAGTCCACAGTACACACCCTTGAGCAAGCCCAATGCGTTGCTGAGAAGAACGAGGTGGACCTGGAGCCTCTGAACCTGGGGCTCATTTCTGCTTTCTACTATGTGAAAGTCGCAACTATTGGTGCGTACGGGGATGGCACTCTTTTGTTCCGTGGGAGTGTATGTCCTGTTAGCGGCCCTAGTGTGTTTGGGCTTCATGCGCACTCCAAATTTCCACCCCTTGTCGGAGCTTGAGGAAGTAAGCCGGTGATGACTGAATGCGCTGTACGTGCTGCGATCATGCAGAACTCTTTAACCGTTCGCTGTCCCCGACCTCTAAACGCCGAGCACTGTTGGAGATCCTCTCGGCTGCAGCGGAATTCGGGTCTCTTCCCCTCCGGCCTGGGGAGGAGACAGTCCTGAAGGGCATCGCCCAGCGCATTGGTCTCAAGCTTCCAGCTAGCATAGACTTCACCAAGGCCAGCACGAAAGCCTTGGTTCTGTTGCATGTGAGTTCGTTGCTGCCCATCCCGTTGCTGGAGTTGATGCTCCACCAATAAAAGTGTATGCTTCGCTCCTATGATGTAGGGTAAGATTTGGGCCATAGGTCTGCTACGTGGCCCATGTATCTGCTTTCAGGCACACTGCCAGCGAGCGACTCTTCCAAGTGACTTGGTTGCGGACCAAAAGCAGGTGTTGGAGCCTTGCGTGCGGCTGCTTCATGCGTTGGTGGACGTCATTGCAAGCAACGGGTGGTTAATCCCTGCCTTAGCTGCCATGGAGATATCTCAAGCCCTTGTCCAGGCTGTGCTGCATGCTGGCTCTGGCGAACAAAACAAACTGCAGGCTTCGGCTCTCAGACAGCTTCCACACTTTAGCACAGACCTCGTCAAGGCTGCCAATGGCAAGTTCCCAGGCTGTGAAACCCAGATCATACGTGCAAAGCCACTGTTTTAGCTCGTTCGTTGATTACCTGTCGGCGATCTTTGTGAAGTGGTAGTATAGACTCAAACGTAAACTTCCGCATGCTGTGCATTGTAGCTGAAGGGGTACCCGGTTGCCAGAGTGGTACATACATGCAACACCAGGAGTGCCATGCATGTGGCTGTGGGGTGTTGCGGGCGGCTCAGCTATGGAGGTTAAAGATGTTTTTGACTTCATGAACATGGAAGATGCGCAAAGAGAGAAGCTTCTAGCGTCGCTCACTCAGGCTCAACTTCGAGTACGTTATTGCCTTTACAGCACGCATGACCTGATTAACAAGGAAGACACGCTTGTATGAATGAGCGCGCGACTGGTGGGGAGTGTTGATTCGTGCACGATACATCTGGGCGCGACACCTGATGCTTTTGCGGGTTGGGTTGTCATCGCAGGAAGTGGCTAAAGCAAGCAACAGGTACCCTGTCATCTCCCTGGAATTTGAACTTTCAAAGACAGAAAATATAAGTCCGGGAGAAAACATCCAATGCACCGTGCAGCTAGAAAGAGACTTGGCGGTGGGTTCGAGGGCTGTCTCTCGCTCTTCGGTGTTGCCAGAGGCCCTCTCGCTGCATGCAGAAAACAAACGGAGCTCTTCTAGTAAATGTTTTGTGCAGTGCAAGCATATTTGCTTTTGGGCGCGTTAAGCGTGATTTGACTCCTTGTTTATGCTTAGTCCTCTGTGTTGCAGCGTGTTTGGCAGCGCATCTTTTGGGTAGATTTTGATTGACCTTAGGTTTGTGACTGTGGGGCAAGATTCTTGGGTGGCTGCGTGCAGGATGGAGATACTGTGGGACCTGTGTACGCTCCATTATTCCCGAAGGAGAAGGAGGAGCAGTGGTGGTTGGTCATTGGGCAGTCGGCACCTAACGGGCTGAATGCGATTAAGCGAATTTCCATCACAAAACAAAACAGCACTGTCAAGCTGGCTTTCGAAGCCCCCGATTCACCAGGGAAGCATCAGTTTGTGCTCTTCCTCATGTGCGACAGCTACATCGGCGCAGACCAGGAACACAAATTTGAAATTCGCGTCCGCTAGATGAATTGTAAGTAAAAGTCAGAATCGTAAACACCCATATGCATGCGAAATAGCAGCACCACCCCCAGCCGCCCCAGCAGCCTCGCCCCTGCGTGTGTTAAAGCGCAAGAGCCCAAGGTCACATCAAGCAGTGGTATGGTATTGCAGATGTGGTGGCTTTCTCGTGTCTAACAACTGAGGTGCAAGCGGTTTCGTCTCCCTCCATAGACTAATCCTTTTTCTCTGCGACAAGTATGCATCGACATAGAACCATGAGTGCCTACGTACCACACTGCTCAGCAGGCCTGCATGCTTGGAGGGCGCCAAACTCAAACATGGTATGTTTGTTGTTTTTGTTACTTGTGTTCGCAATTCTATTTAAGTTAGCAATGTCTTAAGAGGGAAGCCTTGGATAACAGCTAGAGAAATCGTCGTGGCTCGCGATCCATAGATGGATGAGCAGTTAGAGCGCCTGTGGGTCGTTTGGGAGCAAAGGCGTTCATTGTTGAATGCCTTTCCTCTAGATGACTAAGATTTGACTTTCTTAGCGGAGACAGCATTATTTACTTCATTTCTAGGGAAATGGGCACTGCGTATACCTAGACCCTTCCTTTGGAGAGCTAGCAGCATAAACCGTCCCCTTAGTTACTGTGCCAGTCGAGGGATGACTGTTGCGTTCGTTTCTGACTGGCATTGCCATGTACGTTAGTGCTTAGATTGAACTAAGGCACCATACGAACTACGAGGGACCAGCAATGCCCTGATGCATACGGTGATGCATATGCAGAAAAAGCGGGGGTGTACACTGTCATAAGGGTATAGATACATATACTCAAATACGATGAATATGCAGCACATATGCCAGGTACTACATATCCGGGGTACAATGTGCGCATTTTAGTATTCATACGCGCGACTAGCATTTGTATTCGCACGCGCATACCTTATCCGTAAAAGCCACACCCTACTGGGAGCGCGTAAAGAGGTCGACAAAAAATACTAGCCAGCTGAACCAGTTGGCGTGTGCATCCGAAACATGCACAATGGATATCCCCAAAAGCACAAAAAGGGGTAGACGGAGGCCGAAAAACTGAAAATGAAAAAGATCTTGTGAATGTGTTGTTGTCCCTGCATTCGCTGTTGTTGCGGGAAGACGCTGCTGCTGCTGCTGTTTCTGCCGTTGCTACTGTTTGGTCATTGGGCCTCCATGAAGCAGCAGCACTGCATTGGGCCTCCTCGGGCAAGCGAGCGCATGCAGAGAGGCAGCAGTCCTCACCAAAGTCAGGAAACACGGCAGAGTGATGGTGGTGGTGGCAGAGGCTGCCTCGAGGGAACGGATGCCTGCAGCCACAAGGATCAACGTAGGCGCAGATGCCGAGTCCGTCTTTACAACGAAAAGAGAAAGCCGCGAATCATAGCTTATGACTTCAAAAGGCAACAGCGCAGATCCCACTAGCCCCGTATGTTGCAGCAAAGCAGCAGTGAAACTGCGGGTGATTGCCGCTGAGTCCACGCACACGTCCCTCAGGTGCTGTTGCTGCTGCCGCCTCCGCTGCTGCTGCTTCTGTGGCTCTAAAGGCAGCAAGTGGATGTGAAGCAACAGATAAACTGTCGAGAGGCTACCCGTGAGCCTCGGTACCCGATCTACTGCTATCCCCGATGAGCCACGTGCGGCAGCGTGCTCTGGAGCACCTGCAACACCACCAGCTCCAACTGCTCCAGTTGCTGCTTCTGCTGAAGTACATGCTTGGTCAGTAGCAGTGACATGTAACACGCCTGCCACTGGTACGTTTACAGATTCTGCCCCCTCCATCACTACTGAGCCATGAACGGTCTAAAGAAGGCGTTCACTGGCAATCCGCTGCAGTTGCCCTTGGTAGAGCAACAGAACCTGCTGCTGCCTTTGCCGCTACTGCAGTTGTTAGGGCTGCTGCTGCAGCGGGTGCACGGATGCAGCCATGAGGGTCGAGTCTTGCAGGTCGATTCCTGTTGTGTCAGCTTCTACAGCTGCTGCAACAAACGCAGCGCTGCTGCCGTTAGTGGATACCATGCATATGAATTATACTTCCGATTCACCTGATGCTACCGCCTGAGATATTTCAGCAGATTTCGCCTTCATACTACGCCACTTACACCAGTCGGCCGGTAAGGAGAAGGCCAGATTTAGCTTTCCGGAGCAACTGAAATTCCAATGTATATACTCCTCATTTGAATCCATATAAACTAATGTTAATGAATTCGATATTGTCTATGCTGCCATTTAGAAGAACAAGTGCATCGTCAACAGCAGCTGCCAGGCTTGCACAGGGCCCCACGCATGCTCCAGACCACTGCGACGTGCCATTTGTTCGTAAAGGGCTTGAATGGTCATATTACGCAAATACGTTTGTGAATTACGCACAATCAGGTGCGTATGGCGCCTAACGACAACAATGTATGCTCTTTTGACTCTCGATTGCGGACCAGGCGTCCCCAAACCACCTCTCAACTCAGCAGCAGCAGCGGATAGTTGCACAGCTGTGAATGAAGTCTCCCCTCCACGAATAGCTTCAGAAACACCGGAATCTCAGGCAGCAACTGCTGCTGTTGCACCAGCACCGGTCCCTGCGGCTGCGTCCCCCACACAGCGGCGGCTTAACTTCTTATTCCAAGCGTCTGTACACCTCAGCACGAAGAGCCCTACACTTTCGCGTGTGCTGCTACAGCAGCTGCATGAGGTGGCAAGGAAGCACGTGCTAAGGTTACATGCCTCCGTGAAGCACAGTTGCTGTAGTAGTTGCTATTCTCCACTGTTGCCGCATACCACCAGCGTGAGGCAATATATACAGGGCCGCTGCTATTGCACCAAGACAGCCTGCAGTTGCATCGGCGGTGCCTGCACCACCACCCGCTTCAGGGGGGCTGCGCAGCAACAAACATTCCTAAAGAGGCCCAAGCGGCATAATTCAGAGGCGCCAGCAACCCCAGCTGCAAACGACCTCAGCCCTGACTGCAGCTGCAGCAACAGCGGCAGTGCATGCAAAGAAGGAAACAAAGGCTCTAGTGGGGCGAACCAAAGGCCGTGTCCTTGGGACCGCTCAAGCTGTCATCGTTGCTGTGAGGACTTGTGGACCAGCCGCAGCTGCTACTGCTGCTGTTGCTGCTGCCGAATTGGAGATGAACCAGAGCGGCGGAGGCGGCGCCGTCGGGGACAGGCGCAGTCTGATGCAGCCATTGAGCAGCAGCATCGCGCGCAGCCCAAGCAACTAAAGGAGCAGCAGCAACCGTTAATGGAGGTTCGTTGCTTGGTTTGCGGCTATGTTTCTCGCCGCCCATAATTACAAACTTGAGAACAGCTTATTTATGCGCATATGTGTTATCGTGAGTGAACACTTGAAATGTAAGTTCCTTAGTCTAGGCAGAGCACAGCCTCAAAGCTTGTGTAGCTTTCGAAACACACAAAAACAGTTACTGCTGCTCTGTAGGTACAACCACGGTACCCCAGAGGCACAGATAAAGAAACACGCAGGAGCAGATCGGCAGGAGCTGACCGACAAAAGGAAAAACGGGCGGAAGTGAAATGTACGGAACAGAAAAATAGTAGGGGCAGCCGCCTAAAAGATGAGATAGAATATGCTCAAGATGCTGGCGGCAAGCAGAAGGGACCGCGGTTGGCTGGGGGTGGATGCAGTGTTGTGTGTCAGTCTTTCAGTTTGAGGAGGCCTAAGAAGGCCTTCGGGGGGATAGAGACATTTCCGATTGCTCTCATTCTCTTCTTTCCTGCCTTTTGCTTGCTGAGTAGCTTCAGTTTCCGTGTGACGTCGCCCCCATAGCACTTGGCTGTCACATCCTTCCGCAGGGCCCTTACTGTGGAACGCGCTACAATTCGCCCTCCCACCGTTCCTTGAACCGCAACTTCAAACTGCTGGGGTGGAATAGCCTTTCCTAGCTCCTCCGTCAGACGAACCGCCTGCAATGTGCATGCACACGCGCGCCTGCTGCTCTTGCATGGGTGCATGCCAGCAACTGCCTTACCTGGCGTACAATTCCCCAAATGCGAGGTGGGCTTTGCGCGAAAGGCGTAAGTAAAAGAGGCTGAAGAAGCTAGTATATATGCAATGCTACTCCCACCACTTCTTTGGCTTTGGAATGATGCACAAGAAGGCCCATGACGTCTACAGGTTCACCATTCACCAAGAAGCCAACACTCTCCACTCTCGACAGCTCGTACCCTGGGTACATAAACCATAGCAAATTGCTCCAGGCAACATGCACATCCCTCGCCTCGCGGCGGCCGGGGCTGCCGCTTCGTGAGTACTCACGCTTCATTACTATCCTAGCCAAGAAGAAATAGGTTGGGGAGAAAAAGCCATCCCACACTCGATGAATCCAGCTACGAATGGTTTAAGTGTGTGTACACCCAAAACACGTTCCACTGTGCGCTCTATAGAGGGTAAGGGAGCCTCACGCAGCACCGCTTAAGCAAGCAACCAGCGGTATAATGCCACAGTAAATAGCATCAGCAACAGCAGCAGCCAGAAACAGCAAGGGGCACTTGCCTGCATCCTCTACATCAAAAGTTGCCGCACCGCTCGTCACGCTCTGAAGCTTGTCGGCGAAGTCCACGAGGATCTCCGCCAGCGGGAGCTTGTACACCAGATGGACAACAGCTGCATGACAGCGTTTCGGCATCACTTGCTGCTGTTGTTGCTGCTGCAGGATGCGACACTCGAGACGCTCGCCTCTCCGGGAAAACGCAAGTCGGTCTATAGCAGCCATGCACTCCATTGGTGCAACAACAGTGAGATTTGCCTGAATAAAACAAATTTCACTAGCAACAGCCACCATTAATTGTGCCGGAGTGTCTACTCCACCTATTTATACTCATAAATCCCGTGCCCACTCTGTGCTTCCATAGAACCTGTGGCTGCTGCAGCACAGGCTGAGAGACCCGCTTGCGTCGCATGCGCGGCAGCACGAACGGGCTGTTATGTATGATAAATATGTAGCGACCTGACGGTACAGCTGGCTGAGGGCAAAGCGGATGAGGCAAAAGCCCCTATCTACACTGGAGGCGGACCATTGGCTCCAGAAGCTCGCGGCAGCCCTTTGGTAGCTCCGCAGGCCTTCCGACGGGAAGGCGGCGCCCATCAGGCATCTCGAGGAAAAATGTAACTCCAGGAGACGTTAGTACTGTACGCTGCCCGAATTCCGCCTCGAGTCTTCAGCGGCATGCACAGAAACAAACAGAAACACACATCCAGCAAATGCAGTTACCGACGAGTGCACACACCGCCTGCTCTTCATCCCCTTCGGCCCCCCGGCATATCCACTTGCCCCCAAGTAACAATACCACGCGTCTGTGGCATCCCTCTGCTGGTGCTGCTGGAGAACGCCTACCGCTGGTGAACCACCTCCATGTGCAGGGTGCCCAAGAAGCCACAGCGGAAGCCCGGGCCCAGTGCCTGTGAGGAAGCCGGTTGCGCTTCTACTGCGGCATCGGTCAGCATAAGGCGCTGCAGAGACACCTTCAGCTTCTCGTACTCGCTAGGGTCCTCCGGATACACCCCTACACACAGCCAAACCCAAAACTCTCAACCCTACGCCGCATATTTTGAGACACCATAGGCTAACCTTTGGTTAGCAAGCCCCATTGGGGGAAAAGCAGGAGACAAGTACTCTTCGCGATGTGCGAGTTTAAGCAATAGCAACGAACTGTACCTAAGGACTTCAGCGGCAAAACGACTCTGACTAGCCGCAGCAACTGCAGGCACTGCAGCAGCAGCTCACCAGCGTAGACTAGGCGCTTGGGTGGTTCGAATCCCGGCAAAGGCAATGTTGGAGACTGGGAGAGACAGAGAGTGTCTCCCACATGGATATCTGAAGCCCCCCGTAAATTACTGCAGATGTACCCGACCTACAGCAACAACGACAGAACCAAGTCTCCACAACGATCACCTTGCCCCATCTTCCCCAAGTGTGCCTTGCCGACACCTTTGCTCAACGCTCGCCGCTCGGGAGCAACACTTGCCTGTCCTGCCACCAGACAGTCCGTCTTGTATCGCTCTGGCAGCATAAATCCCACTTCTCGAATCTGCAAATGCCGCTTAGACCTTATGGCTGTCACGGAGTCCCCAGCCCTTATTCGCCCCTCCTGGAACATCCCAGAGCAGGAACATCCCAGAGCAGTTGTACACCTGTATGAAGCTTCTGGTTTAGCAATTGCAACATTGTAGTGTAGGGCTTAGAATATTGGGGACACGCTAAGCCTCCAGCACATGAGAGCGCTCACACTGATGCGGACACAACTGGGTAAGGTTTTATTATATAACTTACTCGGATGACTGCAACTAAGACCACCCCCTTAGCAGCGTCATAGAAACTGTCAAATACCAAAGCCTTAAGTGGAGTCCTCGAACTGTCTTTCACTGCAGGCGGTGGCAGCCGCTGCACTATCGCCTCCAGCAGCTCATCTATGCCTAAAGCGCAGATCCGCAAAACATCATCCCAACCCCTTAATCGTAGACGTTACACATATATTGAAGTACACTGACAAGTCACACCCTGGCCATTGTACAATCAACGCTGCCCCGTTCCCCTGCTAGCCCCTGGCACGTCACCCTGTACCCTGCGCCATACACCACGAACAAACAATCCCTATCTTAAACCTAAAGCATACGCCCCCTAGTCTGAGCTCTAGAACAACTGCCCCTCAACGTTTGACCTCTGGTGCTCTGAGCTAAACCATTGATTCCTGAACCATAAAAACCCTAAACCGAAAGCCCTCAGTCACCTTCTCCCGTCTTCGCTGAAACTCCCAAGACACTTTCTGGTGGGGCCCCCAATATGCCGCCGACCGTCTTTTTCAGCTCGGCAACTTGCTCATGAGACTCCGCCAGGTCAATCTGAGGTGAATGTACACTCCACCAAACTCTAGGGGCTGAAAGAAGCGTATCACGGCCCTACTCAAAATGGCCAAAACAGAAAAAGGGCAACTGGCAGCAGCAAGCAAACCATTAGCCGCAGCAGGGGCAATGTCAAAATGAGCAGAAGCAAAACATGCCTTGTTAATTGCTGCTACAAGCGGCAGGTTTCTATCGAGGGCCTTTTGCAGGTGGGAAAAAGTCTGCGCCTGGGGGCCCTGAGTGGCATCAACGAGAAGGACAGCCCCATCGCTGGCCCAGAGGCTCCTCTTCACTTCAAAAGAAAAGTCAGCGTGACCTAAACAGCGCACCGATATGAAGGGAACCGGCCAGATGAAGCATGCGGGACACGGAGGTGGATTGCGATCCATAATTTATGGAAAATAGGCTGTGACAGCTTGTACGCGTGGCTGGGAGACAGCCAGCACTCACGACAAACGACGCAGGCTGGCAAATGGCATAACGTAAGGGAAGATACAAATGCGCGCGTGAAATGACAAGCGCGAAAGAAAGGCGGAACACACGAAAAAAACACCGATGGGGGAAAGCTATGCCATAGGCCAAGGAAACAAAAAAGCCAAAATGCATGTGAAATAAGACTACTCATGAATATAGAAGGCAGATTCGACATGGGACACCAGAACGGGAAAGAGATACAAGCGGAAGAATGAAAAAGGAATGGAGGAGATAGAGAAAACTAAAAATGAAAAGCGAAAGGAACTTGCCTCTGTAGCTGCAGAAAAAGCAGCCAAATGCCCATACAATACCAATGCTACGTGGCGAGAAGACAACCAAATGAAAACACGCAAACCATACAAATAAGAGGGGCTCACAGCTGCGGGAGTGACACGCGGTAGAGAAAGGCCAAAGTGCGAATCATTCCTTGCCTGGTGTGTCTATGAGGTTCAGCACGTAGGGATCGTCCGATCCAAGTCCGTAAAGAAGACTGCAGGTCCTGGCGCGAACAGTGATACCTCGACTGCTTTCTACTTCTGCAGAAGTAGCAAGCAGCGCACGGCGTTGGGAGAGTTGATGTACATATGCAACAAACGCAAAACTAGCTAGATATATCGCAAAAGGGCCAGAAAGCACAGACAAACTGCTGATGATGTACGTCCAGAACTAACTCGGGAGTCTCCAGCTCCAGCTAGAAGAGATGCATAATCCCCTGCCACGCACCATTCAGGGCCTGAAGGCTCACCTAAGGAGTCAAGAAAGCGCCTATCCCTCTTGGGGTCAACCAGTCCCAGACGCTGCAATATTGCATTGGAAACAGAGCTTTTTCCGTGGTCTACGTGCGCCACGATGCTGAAGTTCCTCACGTGACACGCGTTGCTGTCTCTTAAAACTCTCACTCGCTCACTTGATGTATACAGTTTTATGGTGCTGCTGCTGCTGTCGCTACTGTTTCTGCTGCCACTACTACTGCAGTTGTCTTCTGCAGAGGCACGGAATCGATCTGCCCGAGAGGAAAGAGCGCAAGAGCTGCCCTGGAGCCAGGAGTGCAACCAGTTGCTAGTTCTACTACATAAGTTTTGATGCTGCTGTAACACTGTCCGCTCCTTCAGCCCTAAGAGGGGTAGATGTGCCGAGAAGCACAAGGGTTTCCCTCCGAAGGGTCGAGGCGCATTAACGGTCGTCAAGGAGTGCAGCGTCAGACGCCTAGAGGCAGCTGGGTATCCGGGGAATGGAATGTGCGCTGAGGTGTACGCACACCTGGAAACCTGCTCAAGTAAGGGGCTAGAGGGCAGCCCGGAGATAAAAGTCGCCGCTTGTGTCATGTGTGAGTGCCAGCTTCCCACCTGCACTGAAGGCAGAAGAAGCAACGGCGGCAGAAGCAACAGTAATATTGTGGTTGAGGGCGTGGATATGAATGGCAGAATGACGGAGAATTTCATTCAGTCCCAATGAGTTCCGAGGCTGAGCGCCTCCAAAGCCCGCCACGGAAATATCTGCGGCTTTACCGGGGCATATGAGGAGAAGCGACATAATTAAGGCAGAAAGCGAAAAAGTAGGATAACTCGTCAAAATGTGTCTAGATAGAACCCCTATAGAGCTAAAATGAACAGGCGAACGGCGAGTCTCGACACACGCCCGGCTCCGCAACAGGAACCTCAGCCCCAAGAATAGGAACGCTATTTAGATATACTGCTTGCCCCAGATTATTGGTATTACAGCTTTTCTCGTTATCCATCTTGTCTTGTCTAGCATAAACGCTCAGTCCCTCCCACCAGGTGCTCCCGACAAGGCGGCAGTAGAGATTCGCACGAACTTCCTGTCCTCGACTTTGTACGGCATGCACCGAATATCTTTACAAACACTGGAGTACAAATATAAGGGGCAATGTTTAATGGGACTTATTGCATTCTAGTGTCGACCAGAGTTCGTTTTCCGAACATCTTCGAGTTTACGTACTTCGGCCCCGCACCGGGACCATTAAACCAATTTACGGTATATGCCGGCTGGTCGGTCGATGCTTATGTAATTCGTCACTAGCGTTCTCCTAGGTTATTCGACCCTTAATGCGTAGAACTCCTGGCCTCCCTACCTCTAACCTTGTGAAGGCTACGCCAGTATTTCAATATGTAGCTTTACAGTATACTATCGCGAAGCTACAACATCACACTCTAACCCCCTCAAATACTAAACTATCCACGGACTACCGCACTCAGACCAACAGACTGAAGGGATTCATGGGAGAGCTGTTAGCCTGAAGCCTCCAAATCAGGACGTGAGCTCGCCTAGAGGGAGGCGCAGGTCCTCCGGGAGAAGTTCTTCTCGAAAAGGGTGTTCCGAAAAGAAAATTCTATTGATTCTACAGTTTGCATGTACCTGCACTCGAGCAGTGTGGACGTAGTGGGTGCCGAATGCCTTGCGAGTCAAATCTGCCAAATTCAGGTGTACGTACACCCAACCGCTGTCCATGCGCAACGGCATCGCGCACAAGTACGGCTTTATGCGGGTCTCCTTCTGCACATACAACGGCAATCCGCAGCATCAGACAAGCAATGAGCAAATATCCAGCCCATGTACAGGTAAACAAACAAGCAACGGGAAAAAAAACGACTCACAAAGGAAGGGTCTCGCGGACCCAACTGACATGAAGACGAGACATGGAGGACAGGTGGTGGTACGAAATGTGTACTCAAAATACACAAAATGACAAGAAAGAAATTTAGGAGGACAGAAGAGAGAAAGAAGCGGCAAGAAAGCAAGAAACATGCCGAGAGGCCAGTGCAGCGTTGAGGTGTATTGGCAACTGTCGCCAGACCTGGAAGTTTGACACCCTGAAGCGCCTTTTTGTTTTCTTGCTATCCAGAATTTGCACTTCAAAAGAAAACAGTTTGTTGATCTGCACATACACCGCGCCACATGACTGGCTTCCCGCCGCTGGTATCTCCTCTCACCTGGCTGCTTGCAGCAAGAGTTGCTCATGCCCTCTTGTTGTGGGCAGCTGAGAGTGAATATGTGCTGTCTGAGGGAAACGCAGCAAAAATTCTGTTCCCTCGTGCTGTTGCGCTGCTGTCTACATGCAGCAGCAGCCAGTCCCACTTAAGGCCTCACGTTTTTGACGATAAGGACCAGCACCGGCAGAGTAATTGAAAGCTCCTTTTGCGGGTCGGGTGGACAGCAGACGTGACAAGAGGGGACAAGTCCCCTCAGCTCAATAGCAGGAGTTCCCAATTCCTTGTCTGCTTTTTTCAACACCCATCCCCCAGGTCCTTCCCTCTGTGCCCAAAGCTGCAGCGGATGCGATCTGCACTCATGCGTCCGCAGTAATTAGAAATACAAATTCATGCACGCAAAACTGGGTGTGCCATGAAACACATCCTACACCAACAAAAATGTCCACACGATCATCAGATGTGTGCCAACTGCACGCGTACTGTACGGACACGGTTAAGTTGTGGAAGCACACCACGCTCCCTAGACGACTCGGAAGCTAAAACACTTCAAATGCCTAAGTGTGCGTACACTCCACATATTTAAATGCACGCACCCCACACTGTTCAGGATTGAAATATAACCTGACTGAAAAGCCGGCAACATCATGAAGTCCAACACTGAACCCCCCCGAATCGTCTGAGGTCGCGCCTCTCGCTACTTCTTCTCGCCCTTGCTGCTACAGCTGTTGCACCTTGTTCCCATCACTGCTTCTGTTGTTGTTGCTCTTGCTTGCTGCCTGCAGCTGCACTTCCGCGGTGTCCACATCCAAACCGCCGTGACTACGTCACCTACTGCGTCCCTCCAAGAGACCTTCGCCTTGGGCTCACTTCATTATGGTGACAATATGTACTGCCTTCCGCAGGGTCCTTAGCTATGCAATTGAATGCTTTGGCGTTCAGGTTCCGACGGCCTCCTGGGCCTGGAGGGAAAGGTGGCCGGCTATACTTCAAATTAATTAGAGCCAATAACATGTACTGTAGTCATTAAAAGCGAACAATAATATTTTATAACATCAGTTCTTAGGCATGAGCAGTCACGTGCATGCAGCCACTAGGGATGTGCTGCTTGAGCGTTGCTGACGCCTTGTTTTGTTGTGAACTTTGCGGTTCATGAAGGGCGAAGGACTTTAAATGACCCAACATATTACTCTTCTTTCCTCATTTAAGCATTTATAAGACATATTACTGGTACTAGAGCTCATTTATCTCAAGGACCCTCCCGCAAGTCGCCTACAAAGGGGTCCCTATAGTATTTCGGTTGCATTGAGAGCCGCTAAAATACAGGCAGCGACTATTGTATATTAAAGTAGAAGAAGCATGTATAAAAAATACGTTTAATTGAAAGTAGAACACACATGAACGGTAACTCACCTAGGTTCGAAGTTTCAATTAAGCCGAGATTGTGGAAAGACTGTTCGTGTGTACGTGTGTGCATCGCTCTCTAGAACGCTGCGAGCCATTTCTCGACGAAGAAAACTTACTCTTCGATGATCTATTTAATAGTTGGACTGTATAAGTTGCGCGTATATGTGTCTATTCCACCTTTCAGGAAGTGTTCTGGCGTTTTCGCCGTGGTTGTAGCTGTATGTTCTCTTTCAGCTGGCCGCTCGTTAGGGCAGGCTAACTTCTGCTTGCCAAGTGTCTGTTTAGCAGTTGTATCCTCTGATAGTGAATGAATCATGCAGCTAAGGTCTCCAACAAGCAATATTTCGAGGAGATCCCTTCTCTATATGTTTCCAGCCCCTCCCGTGATCCTACGGAGATTATCTGTGTAACTATCATCTCCTCCTTGTCATTTATCGCCGTCATCGTACAGTGGTACGTTTTTTCTCGTCACCTGTGCACGCCATTGGGACCCCAGGCTCTTGTGTGAATGCGCTGAAGTGATTCGATTCGTGAGAGTGGAGCAGGTTGCTGCAGGAGTAGATAACGGGGAAAACCGGATACTTCGTAGAGTCGGTGAATTTTTGTTTCGGGAATTATCGCGTTGTAGTCGCTAATGTACTAGGCAGTGTTATGCCCACCATCCAAGAACGTGGAACGGACCTGAAGAGCGCTCAGCAGCCTTAAGACCCACACACAGCTTCCACATACCCAAGGGCAGCACCAAAAGGCACGCTGCAAAGATAAGCTGGCTGTGCAAAAGGGACTGGAGGAGCCAGAACCAGATAACAGCCTTATCTCCGCTAGACAACACAATGGGTAGACACACAATGTCTACATCTGAATTTTTACGCAGATAGGTGAGGGAAGTTAATTGCAGTTTCGCTTGACACAATACTACTATCTGGATTTAAGGTGAGGCTTGCTTTTGTCTGTCCTACTTTTGAATGAGGTCGCCAATGTGTGCACTGACCAACCATAATACGGCGGCAAATGCCGGCGACACACAGCTAAGTGGATAAGCTTGAACGGCCCAGCACAAACCCTACTGAAGCCGAAGAAGATGGCGGTACACTTCCAGCCCTAGAAGACAATCCTTTTTTCGAAATTACGGATGACATGAGACAATCGCTACTCAGCGGAAGCTCACCATCTACAGGGTCCTAGCTGACACTGGCAAGCTTCTAGGGATGATACTCAGTAACAGTACATAAGCAAACCTCCCAAATTCAGGAAATTAACTATTAAATTCCTTCTGCACGTTGGATATACAAAAGTTTCAGTCTATCCCCCTTCGGCGATGTCGGATACTTTCCATACTATTTTATCTTTCTTTCACATTACTTGTTCGCTGTTAGCCGCACACCGACATTCAATACATGTCTTGGGCTCAATTCCAATGAAGGCCGTTCAACACGAGTGCATTGTGATTTTGAAACACCCAGCATCACGCTTGCACCTTCAGGGAATTGTTTTTACAAGAAGCACAGGCATACCCCCCCTACTGGGAACGCTTTTTAGGCTGCAACTCATGAAACAAAAGCAGGGTCAGCCATTTTCATTATGACTTGTCCCCACTTAACTCGTTTTTCCCAGCAGAACCGATGTTAGTTTTTTTTGCCTAGTAGCGTGTTCTAACACATTTAGCGAGCAGTCTTGACTGAATTCATATCTGGTACAAATATTCACCCTATGCATATGGAATATCTGCATATGAAGCACAGTCCTTACCATTCCCGCTATTCCAAGCGTAAAACTGCTCTTACCATCAACCCTTATTGACATATACATATAGCAGGTAAACCACTGTAAGGATCCAAACCACCGTATCTTCTTCACGAACAAAATGGTAAAATTGGTCGAGTGACGCTTGTCAACATATGTAGATTGCTGCAAATTAGGTCTAAAGAAGGTCTAGTGTTGTTGTTTGCCAGGTACACGGGGAAGACTCCAATTGGCTGGGCTCAACACATCAAAACAAAGCTCTCCTGAGGCTTGCGAAAGACGACACCAAAAAATATGCAGCATAGTCTGACGTTTGCAGGTGTGTCTGAAACTGGCTCTTGAACACTCAGACGGCCTAAGTCTGAACCTGGCACGCGAGCATTTTTTTCAGCAAGTGACTTCATTGTGTTGCCGAACACTACACAAACTATGTTCCACTATTCGACGGATTAACCCTTAATTTGCCATTAGGAATTTCTGCTGCATGACAGCAGGGATGTAAACACTTACGTGAGAAAGGCACAACGTTCTCTGCGAAGAGAACACACCTGTAGCTGCAACTGCAGTGCCTCTGAGCATTTCGATTCCTCCCACAACCTGTCTCATAAGGGAAAACAAAATAAAAAATGAGCACCAAAATAGGAAACATTATTTAATACGTGGAAAAAGCTAGAATCTAATATCGGCTTGAGGCTGTCTGCTCAGGAGCGAGGCCCCGTTATTGCTGCCGATCATGCCGTCGTCAGCGCTTCTCTGTACACAGCGCTCCTAGACATGTCTTGGGGTAGTAAGCTTACAAATATTAGACACTTTACGTTTATTTTTGCTTAAGTTAGCAGGTAACAGAGGTTTAACCTTGAGTGAGTACACTACTTCAGCGGTGCGTTCCGCACTGCCCGTACCGGTCCTAGTGCCTACTTTGCCGCGAGGCATTGAAAAGTCCTTCGATCATTGTATTTAAAACTTATTCTTAAATAGGGTTAAATATCTTGGTAGAGGCTTTAAGGAGGCTGCTCCTGATTGCTGCATTTACCAGTTTTCACAAGCATTTCAAAATAACTTGACAGACGGTGACCATTTGCCGACTGGGGACGCCAGTACCGAGACACACCTCAGGGATTTACAATGGATCCGGAAAAGGCGAATACCGGATCTTTGGAAGCTGGACTTTACCAACCGGATCCGTTCCTACAGGCCCAGTATCTTCATACGGTCGAATACAGTCGACGCGGTCTTTTTCAAAGACATGCTTGGAATCATGTCTTAGTAGTGGCAGTTTCTATTGCCCTCATTTTCCTGGTTGTGAAGTGTACTATGCAGCTGGCCTCCTATAGTGCGACATCTGTTAGGATGCTAGCGGAAGAAAGTTTCCCCTGGCGACGGCAGCTTCCTGGGCAGCGTCCTCTCCTGCAGCTTGTAAGGCCATTTAGCGTTTTAAGCAAGCTCATAATTGTAGCATCATCTTGATTTGGATGTTAATGCTGATCACCATCCTTTGTACGGTCCGCTCAGCTCCCTAATGACGATGATGAATCGTGCGGCACAGCCAGCAGCCCAAGGCGACATCCTCGGCATCGCCTAGACAAGCGGCGTGAGCAAGGCGAATCAAAACCACACGATGCAACGCTTGGAGGAGAGGGGTCGTCGGGGGAAGCTTCTGAAATTCCTTCATCGCTAACTGCTAGCTCCGACGTCGTCGACAATCCCGCCAGCGGTGAGCATCCACAAGGTCCTCGGGCCAAACACGAGACTACTTTGGCACTTGGAGACCTGGATTCTGTGCTCTTCAAAGGTTACAAGAAACGTTACGACTTCCCATTAATTGGACGAGGAGAAGTACGTTCAAGTTGGTCTCTCCTATGCCCTATAGTCTAGCTGAATGAGCAAGAGACACATTGAAGTTTGGTATTCCACCAAAATCATAGGACACCTACGGTGTCGTCTTTGCTTTTGCTAAGTTTGTTAGGGGGGCTACTATCTGCTATTGAATCTGGTTGTTGGTGCTCGCGTGCGCTGCGCATTTCAGAGGTATGAGCGGTTGCACGCAGGGTTGAAGAAACTGGAGGAGGTTATGGATGGCCTTTGCTTCCCTCACGACGGCCCCTACCAAAGTGAGGCTACCTTCTCAACGATACATCAATGAGAATAAATATTCTGCGCACCAGCATGCCAAAAAGTGCAGCCAGTCTTCATCATTTCGCCGTTTTTTCCCTCCCATCATTCGACAGGTCGTTGTCTTTCAAGTGT